CGTGTACAAAAAAATCAGTTCAACTTCGGCGGGCGTGTGCGTGCGTTCACTTGTGTGATGAAAATTTGTCTCTTTACTGTGTCTAATGGACATTTAAATGCTGATCTGACCACTGCTTCACTGTGCAATGTGCTCATTTTAGATTAAAATGCACTGTTGCTTTTGAATTATTGGTTCTGGATGCCTTTTACACCTTCTGGTCTCTGGAAATGTTAGCACCAATCCAGGTCCAGAATAGTTTCCTGAAAGTCTACATCAGCTTTTGACCACCTTAGAATTTAGTAACAGAGATGGGCTTGGCTTTCTTCACATAAATGAAAAAAGTATTGTACCCAAATTAGACATATTTAAAACTTGGTTCATGATCTCTAAACCTGATGTTGTAGTAGTGTCTGAAACTTGGTGGAGGAGTGTGGTGGCAGGCTGACAGTGAGGCACGAGGCAGAACCGAGAGGGTGCCGTGGGAGACACCTGAGGGGAGAAGGTAGGTAGGTGAGCCCAGCTGACTTGACGGAGGACGGAAGTGAGTGAACCTGGGAAAACACAGGGGAAAACTGGGAAACAGATTTCTGCGGGTTACTCTAGCGCTTGAGTGAGGTAGTGGCACCAGGTTTGGAGCAACAACAATCAAGCAGCGATTGTGTGGCGAACCGGGGTTGAAATACTGGCAGGGATGGAGTTGATCGCTGGCAGGTGTGGCAGGCAGAGGAGGTGTCTGACGAGGTGCAGGTGCGGATCGTCAGCTGGGCTCAGGAGCAGAGAGAGAGAGGGAGAACACAAGCAAGGGGAGCAGAGGAGACACAGACAGGCAGGCCAAAGCACAAAGGGAAAACAGAATCACAAGAAAAAAGGAGAAATAAACAAGACACTCACCGTCAGCCGGGCTGCCACCACAACAGTTTCAGGGAGCAAGCTTTCCTTCCAGATTTAGTGAAATGGTATCAAATAGGATTGATCCCTACCATTGGGGATGCTGGAGCTTTTTTTCAGCAACATTTCTTAAAGCTTGCAAATAAACATGCCCCCATTAGGAAGTTCAGGATAAGAATTAGAGACAACCCTTGCTTTTCTAAAGACATAGCTGATCTAATCCATGCCAGAAATAATCAATGGTCTATAGCTAGAAAAACAGAGTGGTAACAATTTGCATCTTTTTAGAACTCTTAGAAATCAGTGTACAGCTCATTAGAAAATCTAAAGCTGAGTACTATTTGGCACAAACGTCAATTAGTTTGCATTCAACATTCTGGGAAACCATTAGAGCATTACAGAATAAGAAAAATGCTTTTAATCATAATTTTGAAAAGGCAGGACATATCTTTGAGGATACATTTGGTAAAACCTCTCTTGTTCAACATAGTTCCCAGGTCTTTACATTGTCTTCCTGTATGTCAAAGAATTGACTTCAAAATCCTGCTGTTAGTTTATAAAACACTAAATGGTTAAGGGCCAAAATACATTTCTGATCTTCTGCTTCGTTATGAACCATCCAGACCTCTCAGGTCGTCTGGGGCAGGTCTGCTTTCTGTCCCCAGAGTCAAAACTAAACATGGAGAAGCAGCGTTCAGTTATTATGTTCCATATATCTGGAACAAACTCCCTGATAACTGCAGATCTGCTGAAACTGTCAGTTCTTTTAAATTAAGACTTTTCTTTTTAACATTGCTTTTAATTAAATATTTACACTGTGAGAAATGAGTAAGTAATTGAGTGAAAAGATAATGAGTGAGATTGAACAGAAGGAAGTGGTCTTAAATCTTGCGCCTGAGTGATTTGCAGGAACCTCTCTCCACCTGTAAATGCGCAAGTGGGTCCAGAGTATAACTGGATCAAAGTGGCCTGCGGACAGACATGTCCTGGTTTCTCTGTAGTGTCCGAGGGTTTTTGGAGTTTCAGTGGACCCAAAGATTGCTATGGACACGAGTACAGACTAGCTAGAGAGAATAGATTAAGTGTACTTCTCTGTTTATTGTCTTTTCAAAATAATTGTAACTCAATTATTTGCTCAACCCCTCAGCCTGTTATTATTTTCCATTTAACTCTTTTAACCCTGATTGTACACTGCACTATAACTTTTACTGTCCTGTGTTACCCTGTTTAAAGTGGGGTTTTTTCCCCCCAATTTCCCTATGTTGCTTTTAAACTTCTTTATGTTTCCCTGTTGCTTTTATGTTTTGTGTAAAGCACTTTGAATTGCGTTGTTGAAATGTGCTATACAAATAAACTTGCCTTGCCAGGTAATAAAATGTGAAATTCCCCATGGTGAACCCAACTCACAGGAAGCTTGGAATAATTTATTCCTGGCTGAACCTAGATCCCAGTCACTACAGGGGGAAGTGGTTTCTTCTTCTGTTTCTTCTTTGACCTTTGAGCTTGCACCATTCTTTGAGTTAGATGTTTTGCAAGTTTTACAGAGCATCGACTCCATGAAGGCAGCTGGACCAGATGGACTTGATCCTGTTTTGTTAAAAATGTCAGCAGAAACTATAGCAAAGCCATTCACTTACATCTTTAATTTTTCCATTTACACAGATCCAGTGCCTATTTCATGGAAACAGGCTTGCGTCACGCCATTACTGAAAGCTGGGGATTCATTTGACACAAATAATTATAGACCTAACTCAAACTCAAACTCTAACTCAAAGGTTTTCGATTTTAGTGTCTGATTAAACTTTTCTGGTTTCACAAAATGTTCTTAACGACATGCAATCTGGTTTTAGATCTGGCCATAGTACAGTTTCTGCCTCTTTAAAAGTTGTTTAAAAGTTAGCAGTTGATAAAAAGTTATTTTGTATGGCTGTGTTGATTGACCTTACAAAGGCATTTGATACAGTAGACCATTTCATGTTAATCAAAACCTTGTTGAATATTGGTGTTGGGCATAGAGCTGTAAATTGGTTTCACAGTTATCTCTCTGAACGGAAGCAAATTGTAAGGCGTGGGAATGTAACATCTGACCCTGTTGCTCTAAAAAAGGGTGTCCCACAAGGATCAGTTCTGGGCCCTTTGCTTTTTATCATCTATATAAACAATGTCTGCAGTAAGTTTAAACACTCATAGTATCAATTGTATGCGGATGATACAATTATGTATTTGTGTGCGCCTACACCTGAGACTGCCTGTGCAATTTGCCTCATTACAATCTTCCCTGTTTGAGTTGAAGCTACTTTTAAATGCAAAAAAGTGAAAGGCGCTAATATTTGCACCTATAAATACTAAAGACCCAGCTCTTGCTATTAACACATTGCAAGATGAAGCCATTGAACTTGTTGATACTTATAAATACTTACAAAACTTAAATTTACTCTGGCATTCTTATATAGATTAAAATCTTGCCTTTTAGGACTGCACGTAAAAAACTGGTTGCAGGATTATTCCTGTCTCAACTAGATTATGGTGATATCATCTATCAATTTGCATGTCCATCTACTCTGTCAAGGCTTGACCCTCTTTATCATGCGGTTCATCACAAATGCTGGTTATCAGACACATCACTGCATCTTATACAGTATGGTAAATTGGCCATCACTCAAAGTGTGCAAGATGCTACATTGGTACATTTTTATTTATAAAGCTATTTTAGGTCTTTTGCCTTCTTATATCTGTTTAAAATTTGTTCATATGCAAAGTACATATCATTTAAGATCTAGTGACGGACTACTTTGTTAGGTACCAAGAATGAGGACCGAAGCAGGAAAGAGGAGTTTGTCTTACTATGGCCCTTCGTCCTGGAATGAACTACAGTATAGGCTTAGGATTGGTGCGCTAATTTCCTTAGCTGCCTTTAAAAAAATAATATCTGACATTATGACGGATGTATGCACTTGTTTTTGATTAACTGTAGGAAGATCTCTACGTTTAGTCCTTATTTCGTTTGTTTATATATTTTAAAGTCATTGCATTTTTGTCTATGTAAATATTTTGTAAACTCTGTGTAAATCTGTACTGTATTTTAATTCACGTAATGTATTGTTTTTCAACTTATGGTTGAAAAATTGTGTTTTACTCGTTATTTGTTTAAAATGTTTGCTAACCACATGTTATTACACTTTTGTTTATATAGCAGAATTCATTATTCAATTTTGCGCATAACTATGCAATTAATTGCAGAAAATCATACATGGTCTTTACCGTGTGTCAACTTAGCATAATAAGGAAACTCATACTTAGGCAGGCACGGCTTTCCATCAGGCCCATACCACACTGCGATTAATCTTCATTGCCCAGCACTAATTTATACCCTATGAGGGTTAGGGAGCTCGATTTGGTTGTGCGGGTGATTCCGACCAGAGTTCACTCCGTAACGGAGTGGAAGTGGCGAGGGTGTAGTTTCAGAACGGGCCTTAGTCAGTGCAGCTCTTAGTCATTCTGTGCTGCTGTTTCTCCTGTAGATATTTAAAATCATCCCTGCTGAGTCATGATTTAGTCTTCCCTTCTCTTTTATCTCTGTTTGGGGAAGTAACCTCTTTAAATGTGCATGTAGCACCTTTTCACCTCAATAATAAATTATTTAATTTTAACTCTGTATCTCACTTGGTCCTGATTACATAGGATCACACTGAATCAGGACTGTAGTAATTTTATCCTGCCGATTTAGAACAGATTACTGACGCAGGGGGAGATAACCCTGCATGCGCAACATCATTCTGACATCAAGTCATGCAGCAAAAACAACGTTCTATTCTTTCTTACAACAAACAGGAGCACACAGGAACAGATTCATATCTGTGCATGTAATGCACATAAAATAATTCTGATTTGCCACTCATTCACAGGACCACCAGTCCGGGCTCCAGCTAGCACTGGCAGCCATAATCCTGAGGATATGAGGTTTGTTTGTCTTTTGGTTGGTTGAAATATTCATATATATTCGTAAATTTGCTGAAAACAGTTTGGGTGCTGTTGGCTGATCCCAATATTTGAACTGCCTTTCCTAATCATCATATTGCATCTTCTGTGTTATGAGTTGTAGTTTTTTTACCTGTCTGGTCATTGTTCGTGTTACCTTCTGTGCGTGGATTCCCCAGTGTTACAGTATCTTGGTACGTGTTGTCCTGTGTAGCCTGCTCTGCTCATTGTTCTCTTCCGGTTTCTATGGTTTTTGGTTTCTTTTGGATTCCTTGTTTTTGGACTTGTTATCAGCCGCTCCGCCTGTAAGTGTGCTCGCCTTTGTTTATTAAACTTTTTGAACTATACCTGCTCCACTCAACGTGTCCTGCATTTGGGTCCTCCAACATGCCTTACCACCACTTACCGTAACATTCTGTGGGACTTAGGGAAGACTTCTACATGGACTCCTCTGAATCAGAAGTTGAAATTCTCTCCGTTCTCCAGTCAGGTGCAACGGCCTCAATGCATTCAAATGTAGGATTTTATCTGAATTTGTATACTCTGCATGGCCTGATTATGTGTGTGGTCATTGTTTTATTTTCTGTGTTCTCAGGATGTCAGATGTTTGGCTGACATTTTGAATGACTTTCACAATGACCATTTAGACCTCAGTTGCATTATCCCAGTCATTGCCAGGCGCAAAAACATTCTTCAGAGTGCATGTGTTGCTTTAAGCAGAAGCTATTTTGCTTGGCATAAACTGCCACATATCGAGTTCATTGGGGAGATGGCAGAAGACTAAGGAGGTTCAAGGGGAGAGTATTTCAGGTTAATTCAAAATTTGATGCATCCTGCTCAAAAGGTTATGGGAACATTGGTACCTTTTGCAGATGTGCCATTATTTTAAAGACCATATCTGAGATGTTTTGTGTTTCTGTTACAGATTCCTCATGATTGAACTGCAGACCAGGGAGGCTACTTTTCAGCTATGACCAACAGGCGTTTGCACAAAAGTTTTACACTGTGGGAAAGCTGTTGGCCTGGTCCATTATCCAAAATGGACCAGGAATCCGATGCCTGGGAAAACCCATTTCTGCTCATGTGTGGCCAGAAGCCAGAAATGACCTTTTGATCTGGATATTTTCCAGGAAGAGGAATTGGAGATTAAGCTTGAAAAGGTAAATTAATATATTCTATGTTAGTCTTGTTTTAAAAAAATAACACGTTATTTCATTTCCTTATCACTTGCATTACTATCTTGAAACATTGTCTAAACAAGTTTTGTCCACAGTAACCTATATATATCTATACTGACTACAAATATAACTTTATTGCTCTACTCAGGTTGAGATGCAGCACCACTGAGGAGTTAGGAGCTCAAATGCACATTGGGAGACTGGATGGCTGATAGTGGTGTGCCAAACATTTACACAGCCTCTGTCAGGGAACACAAAGGGATGGGGTTTTACAAAGTAGTCTACTATATTCACGGCTTAGAGTCCTCCGGCGCTGTGCCGGAATTCCGGGGAGAGGCATTTTTGTATACGACAATATATAAATATGTCTGTGGAAAATATTCTTGCATATTTTTCAGTGCGTGTGTGTGAAGCGCCAGTCTTCCTCTGCACAATTGGTGTATACCGAAAGAAAGGGGACTGGCACTTCCTGGCGACGTGGACACTCATTGGTTATTGTAGGCCGTGGACAGGGCATAGACGTTTCTATTGGGTCAATTAAGGTGTCACTCACAAGGTCAACATGTGGTGTGGATGTTTTTGTTTACATGCTAGCTGTAGTTAGGCTAATGTAAAGCAATGCAAAAGCAGTCCATGTGTATTCATTGACATAATAATGCTTTTGGGACTAAATATTTTATTGGATTAGATCGTCTGGACCTTTGCCGACGTAACAATTTGCTATTTTTGTCGGCATGTAATCCGCCGTTGGAGTACGGCTTCACAGATAAGTGCTGTCAATTTTGACGATAGGCAGTGGGCCACCAGTAAGTTACTTCCACATTTTAGTCTTTGGCATCCCGAAACTTCTCATCTTTCCTTTGCGCTCATCTGTTCCTATTCTCGCCTGTTTGCTAATCTCTGTCTGCGGAGACAGAGCAGGTGGAAGCTCGGTACCTTTCATGTAGCCATGAGGTCCCATGTGAATTGATCTAATTAATTTTAATCGCAAACAAATCAGCACTTTAATTTGTTGAAGGAAAAGGAGCTGAAAAAAAATTTACTTGACCATAATTGTTTTGCATGTTTTACCTCAGATTTGTTAAGTGATCCCAGTCATTCCCAGAGAATGACAGTGTAACTGTGGCACCAGCTACGAACAACGTGCTAACCTCGACAACCCAGCTGTATTCTAACGTTAACTTAGCTTTCCTTATTACCTAGGCTCCTTAATTACGTGCTTGCTAATAACTTTTTCAGTGTCAGTTTTCAACACAAACTTAAACTCTTGCCCCTAACCTCCATCTTTGTCGTAAACCTGTGTGTTAAGGGAAGATGGAACAACAACTCAGATGTAGTTTATTACTTTGATATGCTTTAGGATTAAATAAGAAAGGCATCCCCATATGCATTAAACTACATCACCTAATCTTGGTTTCACTTAGATCAAATCACAATAGCGAAATCTAAAAAGATAGGATCTGGACTGTTTACTTATCAGTGTGGAAAATGGATGAGACCTAGCTGTGCCGTTCCACGGGACAGGAAGTCGTCTCCATAATGTCATGAAGAAGGCTGAAAAGATAATCAGAGATGCTCTTTGTGGAAAAGTTGTACCAGACCAGGTGCATCATGTAGGAACACACTTGCTTTTCTGCCTCCTTTTGGTCTGATCACCCATTCTGCTGTGCTGCCAAGACCTGCAGTTTCAAAGCTTCTATAAACATGTTGTGCTTTTGCTGAACAGACAGTTTCGCACACCAACCATCCTCCTTTCTCAAGCCTGCAGACATTGCACCTTATAGTAAGCACAGTCGGTACATTAATATTGGATTGATTCTATTAGGTTAATAAATAGAGGAACACAGTAAGGATTTTTCTGCCTACAACTTCAGTTTACTGATTGGCAATCTAATAGAAAACCAACTGTACAAAAATAGAAAACCTCTCCCAAAAAACAAGATGTGAGAAGCACACAAACCCACAGACTTCTCTTACAAGGCAGCAACATTAGCAGTGAGCTAATCCATTTCTTTCATACTCTACAGCAGAGGTCACTAATAGGTGGACCTCGGTCCAAACCCAGCCGCTGTCCTCTCTGGACCGCCGATCTACAGCCAATTTATTATTGAGACTTACAACCTCATGATGGAGCGTTTCCATTTTAACCTGCACAGCTTTTCTATCATTTACTGTACTGATTTAACGGACCAGGAAACTCACAAACCAATCGCATGTGCTCCAGTCGTCTCGTGACGCTGCTCAGCCAATCAAATCTGTGCATTCCGATGCTTGCAAGTCGAGCCCGCCAGATTCACCAGAGATGTTTAGGAAAATAATTGAGGTGATGAAAGGGAAAAGCAATCTCACATGGCTTTTAATCAAAACAGAATATGTCATAGCTCTCCAATCCTAGCTGGCAGGACAAACTAGAGCTCACGTTTCTCACAGAACAAGAGAAAGTAGGAGTGGTAGCTCTGTAAGAGGAATGAAAGAGAAGAGGAGGCATTACAGCTGTTTATTTGTGATGTGTTTAGTGTTTATTATAAAATTGGTTAAGACTACACTTCATCACTTCAAGCTACTTATTTTTTTTCACAAAATGAGGCACTTTATTTTAGTTACATTTAGAATTTATTATTAGTAGTTATTTATATCCCTACAGTTTGATGTGAAAACTTACTGAAATATTATTTGTAAGTTTGTCGTTTTGATGTTCCGGACCTTTGCTTCGGGAAATTTTCTCTAACTGGACCACTTTGAATTCGAGTTGAATACCCCTGCTCTACAGCATTGAGTAAATTTATGAGCTAAGGCACAGAAGCTCATCCTTGTGCTGGGTTGGATTAATGTGGTTTGTTCTTGTTCTTTACCGATTAGGTGAACAGTTAAAATTTATTGGCTTTGGAAAAGACAGAATGGAGATTATCATTTAACACTACGCGTTACATAAGCATGTAGAGCAACGTTTTTTTTGCTGCCTCCAGACCGACGAAAAATGCGTTGTTTTGCTTTTCAAACCGCTTTTTACACTGGTTTTTTTTTTATTTATTTTTTTTAACCAAAACAAGCTAGGAAAGTGGCGCAATGTGACCCTTTTGGCATTCCATAGACTTCTATTTTTTTCAAAATAAAATGCCTTGTGCTGACTCCCGAACATACATCAACAATAAACAGTTAAAACGGACCAAAAGAAACAATTTAGCTATGTAGCCTTCTTAACCACGGTAGAAGCACAAAAATCAAGGAAAACTTCCCAAATCAACTAACTCTAAACAATATTCTGAAATGCTCGCTAGCAGAAGCACACAAAATCACAAATAAACATTAAAGCTGCAAGCAGCGTGGGGCGGGCCCTTGCACTTGTAGCACATTGCGGTGTGAGCCAGCCGCGTTGCATATTCTGGAGCTCTGCCGATGCAGCTGTGAATTTGCTACATGCTTCGGAGACTGCATGAAGGTGTTATACGTCAATTCCTGTGTGCCCTTTATGGTGCTACATAGCACTTGGCGCTGTGACTATAAATTAATACTACTGTTGGGTTTAGGGCATCACTCCAGTAGGCTTTTTGGTACATCTTGACATGATACACGTGCCACAAATTTCAAACATGCAGGTGAAACGTGGGCTGCTTTGTTAAAGGTCACTTCCTGTGTCCAGCAGGTGGCGCTATGACTGTGGGTGAATGTTGGCATGTACATGTGTTAAGGGCTGGACAGTTATCAAGGACGTAAAGTTTTGTTCAGATGTGAGCATGTACAGTGAAGTTACAACAACTTCCTGTGTCATGGCGAAGCATCAAACTTTGATGCCAAGGACACACCGTTATCCAAAAACTAACAAGATTCACAACATGGCATCCTCAATGTCATAAGGCTCTTCTGAGATGGTTTTGAAGCAGGTGAGGCAAATATGTTGGCAGTAGTACATAACAGTGTAAAACATGAAACTTCCTGTTGCCAGCAGGTGGCGCTATGACTGTGTTTGGCATACAGATGTGTTCAGGGCGGGACTCTCATCCTACATGTAACGTTTGGTGCAGATCTGACCATGCACACTGAAGTTATTACAACTTTGTCATGGCGAATCACTGATTTTGGACGCCACAGACTTGACCATTGACCAAAACACACAACTTTTCATTGTCAGTGCCTTTTGAAGTCGATCGGCCTAAATCTGTAGGACGAGTTCGTTAAAGTACGCACCCTGTAAACTGTGAAAGAGGTTGAAATCGCACTTTCAATTCTAAATGGCTGACTTCCTGGTGAGTTTAGGGTAGGAGTTCTTTTTTTGTGTCTTGATATGATACATGTCCCCAGAAAACTTTGTGCATGTAGGTTGAAGTAGGCGCGGGGCCAAATTTTTTTTCCAACTTTGCAGGTGGCGCCACAGAGCCATCTTGCCACGCCCATGTGCAAGACCCTGAAAATATGTAATTTTTCACCAGACCTGACAGGTGTGCAAAGTTTGAGTTTTTGGGGTAATTTAGGCCATCAAAAGTGCGATTCGTTTGGGAGAGGAACAATAATCCTTACAATTTAATAGGGTCCTCACATGTTTCATGCTCTGGCATGTCTGTTTGTTTGGGAATCATTATTTATATGGATTATAACTGTGTAGCACTGAGGGTTTGTTTTCAGTCCATGACTAAAAAGGCCAGCAACACATGGAACATTCTACCCTCTATCTTCAAGTGGTACTTTCCGCCCCCCTCTTAGAGTGGTATGTTCTATCTGCCTAATGCAGTTCACAGATCATTGAGAGATCGGAGTTCCCATAAGTTACAAAAAGGAGTGTTAATGCCTTTGTTTCTGACTGTTGTGCGTCCATTGAACTGTAAGTATGTTAAGTCTCATTATTATAGTTTGGGTAGAGTCTTCCCCTTTTCTTGGATAAATCTTGCTCTAGCTAATTTTAGCTGCTGTTGGTCATGTCAATTAGGCCAATTTGTGAGTATCTACAGTGCTAGTTCCATATTTTTAGAGCCTGTGCTTAATGTAATTGCATTCAATTTACCCTTATTAATAGCTGCCAACTGTTTTCTGTAGTGTGATAATTTAGTGTGCAAAAGGTGGTTAGTTGGTGCCACCTTGTGACCCTGTTAAATATAGTGGTGTTTATTTTTCCTTTAGTTCTTTATTATGACTGGTTTAATGGATTGTAATATGTTGCCTTACTTTGTGGTAGATGTGTGGGGTTCTGAAATGAGGAACAACATACAATTTGGCAATAAAGCAGTCTTAACTGGAAATTCTGGACAATTTTGTGACTTGACTTGTTACTTCAGTTGTGTCTAAATTTTACTACAGAGTACCAGCTGGTGTCGGCTGCTAAACATTACACCTGATCTTCATCAACTGCAGAGCAAACTGGAGACATGGCAGGACTGTCAGTTCATGG